CCCTCAACCAAAATAATCCCAAATGCGTGAGACGGTAGGTTTTCAGTAAAAGGCAAGTTGTGACACATGGTGAGTCACTTTCCTCAATCTAACACACACGTTTAAGGTGGAAAGTTAGGAGAGCACCCCTTTTTATAGTACACAAGAATCCCAGTATTATTAAGGTTAATGTGTATATTCTCTTCCCTTTTTGGATTCTGTCCAAACACTTTCACATAAAAGGCCCAAGAACTGACTTTCAAGCAAACAGCCAAAGGCTGGTGTGTGTAGGAGCTGCATATAGAACTGTCACTCTGAATTTCCAGGCAAATGTATCTCTAAATATGAATTGTGCTCTACTCTTACGGTAACAGCATATACGGAGGTGGTTCCTCAACAGTAGATCTGTGGAAGTCCTCACCAAAGGCCATCCTTGGTGCAAACAATAGCATGGCTTCAGAGTTACAAGACAGAAATACCTGGAAGAGAGCTCCCTTGGGAATTATTGATTAGACAAATTACATCAGGAGATTCCCAGTTAGGAATTCGTCAACTGCTGACATATATATCATATATCCTCCCTCTTCTCACTCTTCCCTTGGCTCTGGTTATCAATAGTGCAAAAGATCAGATACAAGACTAGACAGCCTGTTGGTCTGACTCAGTATGGTTGTTCTCTTCTGACTCTTATAAAAACAAAGAAAACATGGAATCATGATCATATGTATTGATTAATTTAATAATTAAAACAACGCATTTCTTAACAAAACCAAAACAAAACCACCACCAAACCCTAGATTTTTTTCCTTAAGTAATGTGACAGTCATATTTTAGAAGCTTTTTAGCAAGGGGGCCAGGCCAGACAACCAAGACCTTTATCTTGGCATTAAGGATTGCAATGCCTTGTGTGGTCCTAAATATCCTGTTCTTATCTCCTACAGGTCACAGAAGTTAAAGGGCTTGCTACTCATATCCTTGTGGGAAGTGTAACCTGTGAGACAAAAGATCTGTTTGCAGCTCGGCCTCAAGTGGTTGCAGTAGACATTAATGACCTTGGCACAGTAAAGCTGAACCTTGAGATCACCTGGTAGTAAGTAGAACTCATTGGTCAGTCGGTCAATCAAACAATCAATCTATCAATCAGCTGTAAAACTTCAACCAAGAACAATGGTTCATCCATGTGAGTCGTTCTCTCCATATTTTTCCCTGCCAAGGAATATTGTGAAGGAGCTGTGGCCAGAGTTTGGTCTATGAGAAGTAGTTCCTGGTCAGCCCCAGTTTGCCTGCTTTTCCTGTAATAAAGAGGGTTTTGCCTAGTTTCAGCTGTTAAATTGGGTTTGGCAAGTACTGACATTGCAAGGTATGGGAACTGCTTAGTGATGATAGGTCTCAGAATTGCCTAAAGCTTACTTCAAAGCTTAAAAAGAGGATATAACTGAGTGTCCATATATATATATGTATTTAATATTTTAAAAAATCAGTGTAAAAATCAGTGCTGGATTTATGGATTTACACTAGCATAGCAAAGTTCAGGAGCTGGCCCATCTTGAAAAGCTGTCTTTTAAGGGCTTCATACACCACAAGAGTGATGGGAAATCTTGTGGTGTTTTCCGTTCACACTGGTCAGCATAGGTGAGCTGGTAGCCTTTGGATACAAACCCAATTCTCACTGCATTTTTATGAAATAAGTAAATGTAATTTCTGAAGAGGCATTGATGCATTTAACTTTTCACAATTATGTGTGCTGTTCCTTGTATTGCAATAAACATGAAGCCGGCAATAACAGCTCCAGGTTTCCTTTATAATGCAACAGCTCTATTAATAGTTGAGCACCTTTCTCATTAGTATGTGTGACACTTAGCAACTCAAATCCAAGAATACTTTCCATGTGAGAAGAATAACATCAGACTACACTACATAAATGATTTCTGAGGGAACACTTTTATCAGAACTGAAAACCACACTTCTGAGACTGATGTCTAATTAACAACATTTTCTTTAAACACTTCAGTTTAAAAACTTGCTACCTCTGGGTTTTGATGTGATAATAAACCACCCTTTCAAAAATGCATTCTATGGACCTGAAAGTCCCTCTTGCTCAGCCTAACAACCTTTTATTTTCTCCCCTCTTGCTGTAGCCCCTTTGATGTTGAAGACTTGACCCCATCCACGGGAAATGTGAGCAAGGTATCTGCTCTCCAGAGGAGAATGTCCATGTACAGCCAAGGCACTCCAGAAACACCAACCTTCAAGGACCACTCATTTTTTGTAAGCTCTGTTTGGCTTTGTGTTTATGTAAGGAAAAACCTTAGAGCAGTTCAAGCACTGCAAACATTTCACTGCTTTACGTGTCTAAGCTTTTATTTCCCTGGTTCCAGCAGGTTACCCTTACATATACTTATAAAGCAAGTACATTCCTAGCTGCTAATCCTAAAAGAAGGTGGCTATGATCCTGGCATCTTTGAAACTATGTGGCCAATTAATGCATACCTATCCTTCCTGCCTGACTGCTGTGATACTTGAATAATCTTTAAAAAATGTGTTTTCATTTTGCAACAGTTGTTAAACAACCATTATAGCACAAGTATTTTTAAGGATCCTGTGATAAAATTTTCCCCTGTACTGAAGATATTCACAGGGTGTTCCTACATTTTGCATGAATTGAATTCTGAATGCTTAATCAGGCCATCTGTACAGAGATTAACTTTACAAATGCTGCATCCCATGGCTGTAATTTAGTACTCTGCTGCAAAGCATTCATTTAACTTGCCCTTCCTCACACCCTCTTTGCTTTAACTGTTGAAGAAATGGCTGCATCCCCTGCAAGACAGGCCAAAGTTGACAATCTTAGATGCTCTTCAAGACACTTTCTTTGACAAGCTTCGTCGCAGTCGCTCTTTTAGTGACCTGCCATCGCTCAGGCTAAGCCCAAAAGCAGGGCTAGAGCTATATGTGAGTCCTGGTTTTCGTTTGGTGAAGGATTTTTTTCAGTTCTTGTGTGGCATTTCCATTCCCACGCATGCTTCATGTGTTGCTCTCTGTTGTAACTCACTCATTTTGCTGACTGATTAGAGGGCAGGACGTAACTGTGAGCCCATGTGGCTCACATTAAATCAAAATTCCTCTTGATTTCTGCAGAGATAATGATCAGAAGTCAACCATCTGTGGGCAGAGAGCAGAGCAGGCATACAAGCCAACAGTGTTCTTAAAAATCACCTGCTACACCGATTGATGCTGTACATTTGCCTAGTAACATGACTTTCAGAAGCTAAAAGCATACGCATGTCAAGGCAAAGAAGAAATAAACCTTTAACTGTGATTATGTTCAGGGGAAAAAAAAGCTGCTATTAATATATTAAAAAAAAAGTTTTGGGCACTTAAACCTTAAGTTTAACAACATGTGGATGCCTACAGTTCTTTCCAACAAATTGTCAGCAAAATAGTAGTTGCCTTCCATCTGTGCCATGCATTTCCGTGAGCTGGCCACATAACAAAGCAAGGTCTGTAGGTCAGGTAGGCAGGTAGTGCACTCCTACAGTGATTCTTCCCCATACATCAGTCAGAGTTGAACATATATATATATGTATGTATCTACCCTGATAAGTCTGGAGTCTGCATAGGCTGGTTTTGCTTCTTAAGTGATCAGTGTCCTGCTCAATACACCACAAATTTTGCTGACTCGTTTAGCAGAAACTTACGTTGGACAGGACTCCTGTATAACTCTTGTTCAACAATTGTTACAGACATCCATGCCACACATGCAGGACATGGGATAAAAAGAAATAGCACAGTACTATCACCATTTGACCACCATGACACCAGAGAAACTTCTGGAGAAAACTGTATCACATTTTACAGATTGCTACTTTAGAAGTCAGAAAATAAGTAGAACAGAAAACTGTAATGAGTAGGAAAATGCAGACAAGGTGGCTTACATACAATTCCATATAAAAGAGCCATGCTACAGGAACTGGAGCAGTGCACTGGAAATGCTGTTTGAGAGAATATAGTAGGGTGAGCAGAATTCATGTCTCTCTTCTGGAGAACATTTCCTAGAGCTCTCTATTTAGCAGAGAAATGCCGAGACCAGGTTTTCCAGCAGATTTCATGCTGAAATTGAGGAGCTGTGCCAGACAAAAGCGGAAGTTTGATTTGAAATATTTTTTCCATCCCTCAAGTCTTGAATGCTTCTTTAATCTTCTTCCTTGACTTTTTCTTTCCTGGATACATGCTGTATATTTTTTCCTCTTTCCAATGCTGCATGAAAAACATTTTCTCCATATTATCTTTTCAGTCAAATTTGCCAGACGATGTCTTTGAAAATGGGACAGTGGCCACTGAGAAGCGGCCCCTCTCCTTCACTTTTGGTGACCTGCCTTACGAAGACGCTGTGCCCCCTGCCAACTCAGCTGAGTCCTCGTCTGCTCATGTCAGCTCCAGCCCTGACATCACTGCGACCCCCACCCAGCACCAAGCCCTTGAGTCCTCCCAGAGCTCAAGCCTAGACTGTAGCAGCAGCGACTCCCGCAGAGACTCTGTTGCTGAGCCAAAGGACCTGCCATCCCATGGAGAGGGAGCGGTGGCTGAGAGCAAGAACACCCCAAGGGCAGCTCCTGAAGTTTGCCAAAATATCTCTGATGCTGGGAGCGATCGTATATTTGTAGAGACGAGTGTCCCGGTGTCTCTCCTGCAGGACACGGATGAAGGTTCAGAACTCAAGCCTGTGGAGCTGGATACCTATGAAGGCAACATCACGAAGCAGCTGGTCAAAAGGCTTACATCAGCAGAGACACCCCTGACCCCAGAGAGGCTGCCTTGTGAGGGATCCATTAGTGGGGAATCGGAAGGATATAAGTCTTATCTTGATGGAAGCATTGAGGAAGCCTTACAAGGGCTTCTCTTAGCTCTTGAGCCACATAAAGAGCAGTATAAAGAGTTTCAGGACCTGGATCAAGAAGTGATGCATCTAGATGACATCCTAAAAGTGAGTACATTTTCAGAAAATACTACCCTAAAGAAAATCTGAGCAGGTGGAATCTCCTCGCCTGCCTCACAAACATCAAAGTAGACTTTCTGGAGAGTAGTAGAATTCCCTAGTAGCAGTAGACTTGCCCCTGCTTGGAGCATCTTTTCACAGTGTTGCATTTTTAAACTTTTGTCAGCAATGTGCTTACCATAGCCATGTGTCCTCAAGCAGCAGATCTTTTATCAAAACCTGGGGGAAAGAGAAAAAGGTACCATGATAGAGGGGTAATTAAATTGTACCCTTTTCTGAATGCCTTGTGAACCACTGTGAATCACCACTTGTGAACACATTGCTTGTGCATACTGGAGATCAGATATAGCCAAACTTCTACCTTTGAAATCCATGAGTCACATCCTCAGCAGGTATACTTTAGCATACTACCCCCGAACTCTGTGAAGCTGTGCAAAACTACAGTAGCTGAGGATCAGGCCTTGCAGCCACAGAAGCTGAATTTTCTGAATTGCCAAAGGGATTTAGAAGCACAAGTATCGCTGAAGGTTGCTGTCCCCATGTCACCTAGGTGTGGCCTTTTCCTTTTTCCCTCACCCATTTTCATAGTGAGAGACATCCTGTCATTACATCAAGGTGCAGAGAAAAATGTTAAAAATGGGAAGAAAAGGGGTTTGCATGTGTGTTGTTAATATGTTTACTGTGGATCACTGTTACTTGTGTCTCCCCCATGAATAACAACTCATGACACGTTACTCTGCAAACAGTATTATATGGGAAATAATCATTTCAAATGCTTCATATTCATATGCAAGTTGGTCTGCTAGTCATTTAAGCCTCATCATTCAAAAACATGGCTGAGGAGGAAGCAGGGAAGCATTTATTCTTTTGCATTATCTTTTCACAAAGAAACTTTGCTAACCTCCTTATTTCCATTGGTGTTTACAGCTGCATGGTACTTTCCCAAGTTAAGTGGTTTTTTGCACAGCCTGCAGCCCCTGTTCCTTGCATATTCCTAGAGAGGTTTGAGCGGGCAAATGTACCATTGTTATTATTTTCTAACTTGGTACAAACAGGTCAGCTATCAAAAGGGCAGAGAGACAATGGAGACTGTTAATTTAGGCTGCTTTGATCAGAAGTTACAAAAAGTCAGACATGGGATGGGGGCAGAGAGGATGGACATTTGCAGACAGGATTGCTGCACACTTGAGATGGATGCCACTTCCAGATCTGTTGAAGTCTGGATGTGACCTATTGATCAGCTCACAGACTGACACTCAGCATCACCAGCAGCCATGCAGAAGGGGGCTGCACGAGCTTCTCATGCAGAAAGGTTGAGCTGGAGTCCAGCTGTGACTGAAGAAACCTCTCTTGGCCATATTAGATGAGCAGAGAAAATGGCCCACATATTGCTGTTTGTATTTGCTTGGAGAAGCTGCACTACCAAGCCCTGAAGGAAATGGAAGCCGAAACCATTGGTGCCGCACTAGAAGCAGGCTACAGCACTCAGCCTTGTCACAGATGCATTGGGAAGTGTGTTTGATCAGCTAATGACTGTACAGGCAGTTCAAGGACTCAAACATCCTAAGTGCAAATGTATGACCATTAGTACTGTGTGCAAAGGAATTGAAAACAGAACTCCCTTCAGCTCTAGAGCAGCTGGTGCTGAATCTGAACTCCTCGGAGGCCAATGCGTTTTTCTGTGAGCTGAGACAAAGTCATGGCTGCTGCTTGGGACTGGAGGATGTGGCTTGTGTAATGGCACCAGTGGCTCATGTCTCTTTCTGATCAAATAATCACATCGCATGAAAGATGTTGAAGTCATTGCACCAACCAATGGAGATGATCTCTCAAGTTACATCTGATTCTTCAGGGTGACCCTGAAAGCAATTTTGTGGGTACATGAGGATGAATTGCCATATGGGATTCACACTTTCATATTTCTTACAGCTACAGCAAGATTTCCTATGTGTTTCTTCCCTGCAGTGAGGTGGGATGGTTTCCCGCTCTCTCAAGCACTGTTAATTTCTGAGTTACAATACTGCCTTTTGCTGTCACCGAGGAATCTGATGCCTTATTGGCTTTTCCTTGATAATCCATTTGCCTTCAAAGGCCACAAAACTCCTCTCATTCCATTAATAAATGTGCAGCTATGGGACCAAATTCATTCCTGGCTAAGGTCTGTTAGAGTTACGTCTGTAATAAATCAGGTAGTGCCACTGGATATGTATAAATTGGCTTCTGTAGCTAGAACAGCAATTAAGGAATGTGCCTGCCCCTTTCAACTTCCATTGCATTAATTCCCATCATTCCTTTTGGAAAATGCCAAGAGCTGTGAAACTTGGATTCAAGAACTACTTCTCATTTCTATAAAACACGGTGAATTTTGCCTCTAAGGGTTTTCCTTTGGGGAAGAGAGTGAGTAGGATGAGGAGGGGAGGAGGAATGAAAGGCTTTTCCCAGTTCTCAGGCTTTGATTGTATATGCTATGAATATGAAGGCTTGAAATGAAACACCCAATAAAATGAAGTTTTAAAAATAAAATGAAGAATTTGAAGTTTTAAGCTTTATATTTTTTTTTTTTTCTTATCTTTCTTGTAGTAGTTAATATCTGGGGTTTTCATTGGTTCGTTCTGCCTTTGCAGTGCAAGCCAGCAGTAAGCCGAAGCAGGTCCTCAAGTTTAAGTCTAACAGTTGAAAGTGCTTTAGAAAGCTTTGATTTCCTGAACACCTCTGACTTTGATGATGAGGATGGTGGTGGTGTGGAGGTTTGTAATGGTGGAGGAGGTGCAGACTCGGTATTTTCAGATACTGAGATTGAGAAGAATAGGTAAGTTTGTAGTACCTGCCAGCTGTGCTTACGCCAAACTGACACCCTGGCTCTTTGTCGCTAACAGGGGATCCTGGTGCACAATTTATTCAAGGAAGACTGACTAATCCTTGATGAGTTTTAGGGTCAGAAGGCTCCCCATGGCTGCTGCACACAAAATCTTTAGTTTCCAGGACCATTTTTTTCCCCCTGTTCAAATATATGCAATCTGTCCTCCAGAGGAGAAGGGTAAATTAAATTAAGCTGACATCAATACTGGCAGAGCCTCTTCCTTGACATAGGTTTGGACCTGGCTTTCCTTGGATGTAATTACTAATTCCTCTGTGGTTTTTCCCCCCTCCCTTTGTCTTTTCTCTCTAGCCGAATGAGTCTTTGCAGTGGATTAAGCTTGTCAGTAACAATAACACAGGGCCAGATTTAAGCAGCATGATGTAGGTTGCCTTTGGAATGTAAGAGTGATGACTGGTACTCTGTTCATGGCCCTGCGTGTTACCTGCCCTTCTTTCATCACTTTTTTCTGAGAGAAAAAAAAACAAGCAAAAAAAGAGAAAAAAAAAAAACAACTGTGGTGTTGTGCTGTGGCCTGCCATTGTTGTGTGACTTTAAGATGCTGTGCTTCAATCATTAGATCTTAAAAGCATGTTTGCATCCTTTGAGCTGACACGATGCCCAGCAGGCACGTAAGCGGCACTAGAGCTGGAATAAAAGAAAGGAACACGGTTCCCTCCCTGCCTGTGCTTTCCAACCAGGGAGCTACACTACTCACAGCTTGCTTAAAGCAATTTGTGTGCAACAAGCAACCACCATGCAGTTCCCATCATCTCCTGTCCTCATTCCAGAATAGGACTTGGTGGGAAAAATAAATTGGGAAATTGTGTTGCTTGTTAAACTTGCACTCTGACCTCAGTCCGGTCTGTGCTGATTTAAGAATCGAGCTTCAACCAGTTAAAATAGAAATTAAAATTTCTCTTTCCCCCCTCTGGCTCATCCCCAGACAGTGCAGATTCCTGCTTCCATTTTTAGATGTGCAAGTGTGTGACTCAGTGTAAAGATTGCAAGTGTTGAAACTTCTGAACTTGCAGCCAAACACACTTGCCATATGGGGACTGACCTCAGGCTTTGCATTTAAACACAGGGAGGATCATTGGTACAGCAAGACAATATTGGAAATAATGATTTGAAACACAGTAAGACTAGCTCTACTCTCTTGCAGAAACAACTGGTGAAGTAAGCTGTACACATTGTGTCCAGAACTACATATGAAAACATTGTGTCTTTTATTTCAGCAGTAGTTTTCCTTTCCTTCTGCAATGACCCTTAAATTTGGCAGCAGAAGGACCCCGAAAGCACAGAGCTGTTCTTAGCAGCTCAGTGCTTGGGAAAGTACAAATTGTCATGGTGCTTAATCCCGAGCGACTGGGCAGGTGATTCATCACAGATGGGAGAAAGCTGTCACCACTGCGGGACAGTAACCACGGGTTAACAAAGCTTGCTGTTGAGGGCATCACATCACTCAAGGCGAGCCAGTCAGGGCTGTCCCCTAGATGGGTACATCCCTTCTGTACCCAGCCAGGGCAGCCCTGCTCCTTTGTGATGTGATGTGCTCATCACCGGCTTTCTGTGTGCTTTCAGCTCTTCTGCCGTGCTCTTTGCTCATCACCTTGTGTGCGAGTGTGGGTGTGGGTGTGGGTGTGTGTCTGCTGTGGCAGCTGCCGGCCCTGCACTGACCTCCTCCTCCCTCCTCCCCAGTTACAGGACGGAGCACCCAGAAGCCAGAGGCCACCTGAGCGAAGCTCTCACCGAGGACACGGGTGTGGGCACCAGCGTGGCTGGCAGCCCTCTGCCCCTGACCACAGGCAACGACAGCCTCGATATAACCATAGTTAAGCACTTGCAGTATTGCACCCAGCTCATTCAGGTACCAGGCACACCTCGTTTGGGGCATTTATTTTAAAATCATTCCTGCCTGCAGCATGGGTATAAGCAGGCTGGCAAGGTCAGCACTGCTCCTGTGAAGCAGTGGGAGCACAGGGCTGGGACAGACAGCCTCACCCCAGCCACAAGTGCCTCCATCCTTTCCATCCTGGCCCTTTTCAGAGCAGACCTGACGTGTGAATTATGGGGCACTTGGCAGGAGCTGCCCAGGAGGGCTGAGGGGCAGGGCACTGGGGAACAGGGGCATCCCCTGCTCTGGGTTACAAACTCCTGCTGGCTTTGCTGGGGGGTCCTCAGTGGAGTGGGTTCCCAGTTAAAGCAGCCCACATCTTCAGGGGTAAAGCAGGAACCCTGTCTCCACTTTTTAACTGAGCCCAAGATGAGCCTGCAGCGTTCAAGGGCAGGGATGAATTTTTGCACATGAGGCAGAGAGATTCTGTCTGCAACAGGCACAGTGAAGGCAGCTGGAGACAGCCCCCCTGGGACATCAGAATTGTCAGTTCAAGCTCACAACTAGAGGGTTTTTTCTGTGGGTTTTTTTTTTCAGAGCCCGTGCACAGCAAATGCAAATTTAAACATCAGTAAGTGAGGTCATCAGGGTTTTCCTGGAAAATCAAAACATGCTGCAACTTCCTCTTCACAATCATTTTACTCTTCCATCTTAGATATAATTAGCTTTATCTTCCCAAAGGATCATTGAAGCAATAGAGCGCGAGCCTGATTCCATCACCCTTAGTGCTGAGCTGGAAACTCTGCTGACTCACAGCCATGAGAAAAAGGGACTTTTTTTGGTTTCAGTACAAGAGTACACAGTAAATATGCAGCTGAGTGAGGTGAACTTGAACCACATCAACACACAGAGCAGATTTGATATGAACATTATTTACATAGACTGCTGAAGAAATGCAGATAGCAGCAGTAGGGAGTATTAGCAAGGATTAATTAATTAATAAAATTAATAAAGGTACCTAAGTAATCGATCAAAGCTGAAATGAAGTGAAGAAATAGCAACAGGGTTGTTCTCCATGCAGGGTTGTTCTGAAAGTCTACAGCCTAAGTTGTGTGAAAGTCAGACTAATATTCTTGCCTGGTTTTAAGTCCTGTGGTGATGGGTTTCTTTAGCTTTGTGGTGTGTGCAAATCAGAAATTACTTATGCAAATGAATACTCAGGTGTCTGGATCTGGATTTAGATATTGAACATACAAGCAGTGATGCATATCAACTAGGACCAAAAAAATATCCAAAAGACAAGAAATTTAAGTTAAGGAGGTCCTGTGGTTCCAGGTAATGAATTTGTCGTTGCACTTAAGGTGTTTCTGAATTTTTTTTATTTTTTTTTTTTCTGAGGCCAGGTTTCTTTTTTGGTTCAATGACTCCCTTTTGTCTCATTTGTCTTCACCAGCAAATTGTGTTCTCCAGTAAAACACCATTTGTGACAAGAGACCTCCTGGATAAGTTGTCCCAGCAGATCCTTGTGATGGAGAATATTGCGGAGATCAGCACTGAGAACTTGGGAAACATCACCTCTCTTACTGATGGTAAGAAACAGCTTAGAGGTTTTCCTTCTGACAAAGATTTGCCTGGGCATATGTGTCTGCTGAAATAATCACCATGCAGATCTCACCAGTAGTGCAGGAGGTGCCACTCTAATAAAGGCTGGCTCAGGGTCACCGGGAGGTGCAGCACTCACCACAGCCAGGCAGGTGTCACCTGCATCTGTCCTGAGCTCTTTTATCCAGAAATATGCAAGTGAGAAGAGAAAGGACTTCTTACCCAGCTTGATGTGCAGAAGATGGACAGATGTCATTGGTGTTATGGATGGGGATATTTCCACGTCTGAGGACTCAAGTTATTCTTCCACCTTTATTTCCTGAGGAAAGGCAAGATTTGCATTACAATATCAGAGGCATACTACAACTTCTTGAACATTTTCAATTTTAGTCATCTCTCTGGAGAACTTCTTAGTTATTTTCCTTTTTGCATCTGTTTTAATACTTGGAAGAGTTTGCCAAACACATAGTTACCCTCATGTACACTCTGGCAGGATAGGGAAATACTATAAGGTGTATTTACTGTATCAGAAAATTGAGGCAAAAATGGAGTGACTTACTTGAAGCCATAGAGCAGTGCTAGGACAGGGACCAAACTTGTGCAGATAATTTGTGGTGTTCCCCTGGTATTTTTTGCTATCTAAAAAGAGAATGCTGAGAACTGGATCAGGAGCTAATTTTCTCACTTGACTGTGGGAAACAGAAAAAACAGAAAGATGTTACAAACCTGGGGTGAGCACATGATCATGCTCTGTGAAGGTAATGGCTCAGGGAGACCCAACAAACAGTAACTGTTTATCAGTGGGATAGGGTGAGATTTCCTCCATTCTTACCTTCTTATCTCAAAGTTGCTGCTTCCAGCAAGGCTTTGTTTCATCATTCATTTTGCCCTCCCCAGCAATTCCAGAGTTCCACAAGAAGCTGTCACTGCTGGCTTTCTGGATGAAGTGTACTGGCCCTTCAGGAGTGTATCACACTTCTGCTGACAAGATGATGAAGCAGCTGGATATCAATTTTGCCACCACTGTGAATGAGGAGTGTCCAGGACTTGCAGAAACAGGTACAAAAAAAAAAAAATGTGTCACCATCAAAATGGAGAACAACTCTGTAACAAGCTTTGTTTTCCAACCCCTCGGAGATCTGTTTGGCCACAGTTCCAAAATCTCATTTGAAAACTAATGCTACAGCTCTTGTAAAAGGTTTGGCCCCAAATAATGAAAAAAATAACAACCAAAAAAAAAAAAACCAAACAGGTGAGGTTAAGAGAAAATATTGCTTTAAGGTCTATGAGTTAATCAGAAAGAAAGTCTATTCCCAAATGCAGATTTGTGATTCAATGAATCAGGAATCCTTGCACTTAATTTTGTGCGTCTATATAACACCCACACCCCGTAACAGTGCAGAGGGATGAAATTAATCCACATTCAAGTAAGTTTATCTGAGCACAGGTTCTTATCTTGTGTGGGATGTACCACACCTCAAACTCCAGCTATACTGACTAGCTCTCCCTAGGACAGAATGGGGATGGAGGCTGGTCTGCCCAGGTGTGGCCACCTGCACTGTGGATGGCTACACAGGGCAGTGTTCTCCTTCCTGCTCCATGCTACAGCTCTCACAGACAGTGCCTCAGACTGGCTTTCTGCATGCCACACTTAGTGCAGGAACATAAAAAATAGCAAAGCCAAATCCTGCCTCTGTGCACATTTCCCCTGCCTCAGTGGCACTGTGGGGATGTAACAGGCAGTGCATGTGGAGAGGGGTTTATGATTCAGGATATTGTTTAGGTAGAAATGATGCTGTACTGATTGCACAGCCATCTGTAAACCAGCAGAGGCTCATCCTTACAAGGATATTCTCTGGTAATGAGACCCAGACAGGGAGAAGGCCTGTCCAGCTTCTAACCTAACCACAGCTGAGTTTAGGAACATTGGGAAGTACCTGGCCTTGCAGATGCATTTCTCTCTGTCTGGTTTTGAAGTGGACTGCGTAATTTTGCCAGCAGCTTTTGCTCTCACTAACCTGTCCCTTTGTCCATGGCTGCCTGCAGTCTTCAGGATCCTGGTGTCTCAGATCCTGGACCGGACGGAGCCGGTCCTCTACTCCAGCATGTCCTCCGAGACCATTACTGTCTTTCAGTATCACAACTACTTTGCCAGCCACAGTGTCCATGACCTTGGAAGCTACTTGCTACAGCTCGCAAAAGAAGGTAGGGTATATAAATTCTGCTGGCTGGTTAGGGAGTACATCCCTGTCCTTCTGAGCTCAACACAAAGCATTTCAGCCCTGAGGCTGGTTTTACAAAAGGAGGAGAGAAAAGAGGCAAAGAAGTGTCCTGGCTATTAAGTGAATGCACCTGAACTATTGCACATGACAGGGGAAGGGAGCTGATGCAGATAGACCCTCAGTTATTTCTATTTCCATATTCAAATGGGAAAAAACTGTTTTGAAAGCATTGTTTTGTAGGAGATAGCTGATGGTGGTGGGCTGAGCCCAAGGCCTGGGAAGTTTTCTGTGCCCACAGCTTGGATGATGTCTTGGTCTTTCACCATCAGTTATGGAGACACCTTCTGAAGTACTGAGCAATTCTCAGGAACCAAGGGATCACAGCACCTCAGAGTTTTGCAGGCTCTGCCACCAAGAGCTAGAGAGAAGCAGGTGTTGCACAAAGTGTGCTGGACTGCAATCCCTGGCAAGCCAAATTTCCTTCTCTATTTGAGAGGGATTTTGAGGAACCGTGCCTAATTTTCCTTTTTATTTGGGCATACTAGGGAGCTTTTGCTCAAAAGCCGGGAAGCAAAACGGCATTTCAAATCACCTCTGAAACATATTAGCCCTAGCTCTTGTTGGCAGACATCAATCTATCCAGGAAAAGCTCTCACAAAGATGCTCTGGAAGTCAATACACTGGCAACAATATTTGGTTTCACTTGTTAGAGTGAGAATTTACATCTTCCAGCAGAAAGCAGAGATTTGACAGGTAGGCCTAAGTGCTGCACTATCCCATAACCCATCTGCTCGTCTCCTCACTTGAAGGAGGTCTGAGAAACTGACCCAGCTTAAAGCCCAGAGAATTCCCCATGCAGACACACTGCCATGATGCTCAGATGGGGATATTTTCATATCCTCAGTGTGTGTAGTATAAATCAAGGATTGCTAGCAAGGAAAGGATCAATTCAAAATACCAAGAGGATAAAGTAAGTAACACAGACCTTTTTCTTGAACTTCTAGCATCGGTGGTTCAGGTGCTGCAGTCAGTGAAAGATGGAAAACTGCAGCAAAATGTGTCCAAAATAAACTCCAATAACCTTCCACCACAGCAGGAAGTTTTAAGAGCTTTGGCTTTACTTCTCAATGAAAATAAAAATGAAGTCAGTGAGACCGTGGCATCACTTCTGACAGCAACTGCAGAAAACAGGCACTTCAGGGAGAAGGTAAGTGGCAGAAAATCACCTGTTGCATGAGAGACCTGTGTCACCATGACTTTTTTTCTACCTGTATGTCTCAAATATCTGTGCATATAAAATAACTGATCCAAGCTTGATTTAAACTGATGCAGAGGGAAATCCTAATTTTTCTGCACGTGTGCAGGTCTGTTTCTGTCTTTATCCCAGTCTGCTTCTACCTGTTATTATGCTAAATAGGTACTAACCAAAACTGCAAATACTTACTGAGTGCCGTGCTCTCCAGCTATCTTCCACACTTCAGCATTTCTGCTGCCCTGTCTCTGACTTGGCTTCAGTCCAAGGCTTCAAGGTAACAGTCCCCAGCATCACCAACATGCAAAGACAGGTCTCAGATTTTTGGTTTTTTTCCAAAGGAGCCTGCCATCTATGAGACTTCCTACCATTTCCAGAAGGGATGGACTGCCTTGGGCAAACACAGCTCAGCTGTGAGAACTAGGATTTGAGTCTATCTCTGATACCAAAAGCTACAATCAGGGCCAGGTTAAACAGAGAAATTAAATAGAGGGGAGAAGGAAGAGTAAGAAGAAATTAGGGGTTGGCTCCTACCCTTTCATGGCAGACCTTTCCCTACTATGCTTCGTCCTCTCTGTCAGGAAAGAGCAAAAGAAAAGGCAGCTGGAAGAGGAAGAGTGGCAGAAGGAAGGCAAAGGGAAGAGAAAAAGGAGCTCAGTTTCTCTTGTCTATGAGTCCAGTTCCCTCTTTGCTTGCCCTCCCACTTCCGTTTTTGCAGCCTCTTGGTATTTCATACAGTCCTTCTCCATCCCCAGTGTCCTGGAGGCAGCATCTCAGGGAAAATACAACCTTCCCCTGGAACAGGCATGCGTAGCTGATACCCGGTCCACTGCCTGCAGGAAGAATCACAGAGTGGCTTCTGTGAGCGTATTGTGCAGCCTTATGCTGCAGATGAATTCACTGTACAGCTGAGTGCTGCTGAGATTTGCTACTCAGTAGTAGCTACTAATTTCTAGGGTCAAGCAGTAGACTGGTCTAGCAGCTCAAGCTAACACTGTAATCATTATTTTAAGTCTCCCTGGGGGCTATACAAACTAGTTCATTATTATCCCTACATAAAAGAATTGTCTCAAGGGCCACCTCCTGAGATATTTAGACTCCAAGGCTCATTCAAAGCTCTTTGGTGATGTATGGTGAAAGGCCTTCAAAGGTGCCAGATTGTGCATCTTACTTTAACGTGAACTTTTCCTCACCAAAAGCTGGAATGAGACTGCTGACCTATGACCAGTGGTCTGTCCTGGATCTGCTGTAGGGAATTATCCCACCCTGTACCATCCCACATGCTCATTGTCAGGGAGGCAGGCTGCAATTGCTCTCCCTTTAACAGGGTAACAATACCTCCATGCTCCACACTTCTCCACAGACATTTTCATTGCTATTCTTCTTTATCTGTTTTCAGGCCTTGATTTATTACTGTGAAGCACTAACCCAGCCCAACCTCCAGCTGCAGAAAGCAGCTTGCTTGGCTCTAAGATACCTCAAGGTAAGAGAAAAAGAATACATTGGGGTGCTTGGCTTTGCTTTATGGAAAGGGCATCTGATAGGTACAAACAACAAAATAGAAATTATAACAGCAGCAGTGGTGTTTTTGGTTTGTGTTGCTGTGCTCCATTCTTTTCAGATAAAGGGAATGGTTTAGAACCTTCTAAACCACAAACTGTGACCTTGGCAAAGTTTTATCTTTTGCATATCATGTCTTTCTCCCTCTCATACTGACTTCAGGAGACTCAGTTCCACATCACAGAGAAAAAAAAAAATGTTTATTCATAAAGTACTGACTGAGAAGGATAAAAAAAATGTTTTCCCAGGATAAAATTAGCTCTAATGAATGTGGGCTGCAGTAGCAGAAAAGAGAGATCACATCTTGTTTTGTGATAAATAGCTGGTACATCTGGGCACTACAGCCTCAGCTAGCATCTGGTACCACCTTTGCACTCTAGCCTTTGACAGGATGGGAAAATGCATTTGTTTTAGTTGTACAGAGCCACAGGAGACAGCAGCCATCCAAGCCTGACTGGTATGGGACACTGGGGCAAAAACTGTGTTCCATGAGACAGATGCACTTTGGACTGACTATTTCTGCCTCTAATCTGTCCCCTGGAAGGCAGCTCTAAACTGTAACTTCATCCCAGTCGCAACTGACACCATCAAATGCCTAATCCAGTATTGTTTAAATATAAAAAAACGTTTCCCTTAAATGAGAAGCTAGCAGGCATCCCTGTGAGGCAATGGTGAGGGACATTACATCTCTGCTGCATGCAGGGTGCAGTGGGGTTTTTGATTGCTCAGGAAAACTCAGGCTAGGAACCAGTGGTGGGAACTGGAGCTGGACAAGTTTAACTTGAGCAATGTGACTCCAGTGAGTCCTGAATACTGAGAATAGCTGGGGAAAAAAGCTATTGTGGGAAAGTATCAT